GGTTTTGAGGAGCGTGAAACATCTCTTAATTGCTATTGTTCCCAGGTCCACCCTTCCAGTATCAAGGCCTCTGGTCAGAAGATTGGAGGTTTTGAGGAGCGTGGAACCATCTCTTAATTGCTATTGTTCCCAGGTCCACCCTTCCGGTATCAAGGCATCTGGTCGGAAGATTGGAGGTTTTGAGGAGCGTGGAACCATCTCTTAATTGCTGTTGTTCCCAGGTCCACCCTTCCAGTATCAAGGCCTCTGGTCGGAAGATTGGAGGTTTTGAGGAGCGTGGAACCATCTCTTAATTGCTATTGTTCCCAGGTCCAACCTTCCGGTATCAAGGCCTCTGGTCAGAAGATTGTAGGTTTTGAGGAGCGTGGAACCATCTCTTAATTGCTGTTGTTCCCAGGTCCATCCTTCCGGTATCAAGGCCTCTGGTCGGAAGATTGGAGGTTTTGAGGAGCGTGGAACCATCTCTTAATAACTGTTGTTTCCAGGTCTACCCTTCCGGTATCAAGGCCTCTCGTCGGAAGATTGGAGGTTTTGAGGAGCGTGGAACCATCTCTTAATTTCTGTTGTTCCCAGGTCCATCCTTCCGGTATCAAGGCCTCTGGTCGGAAGATTGGAGGTTTTGAGGAGCGTGGAACCATCTCTTAATTGCTGTTGTTCCCAGGTCCATCCTTCCGGTATCAAGGCCTCTGGTCGGAAGATTGGAGGTTTTGAGGAGCGTGGAACCATCTCTTAATTGCTGTTGTTCCCAGGTCCATCCTTCCGGTATCAAGGCCTCTGATCGGAAGATTGGAGATTTTGAGGAGCGTGGAACCATCTCTTAATTGCTGTTGTTCCCAGGTCCATCCTTCTGGTATCAAGGCCTCTGGTCGGAAGATTGGAGGTTTTGAGGAGCGTGGAACCATCTCTTAATTGCTATTGTTCCCAGGTCCACCCTTCCGGTATCAAGGCCTCTGATCGGGAGATTGGAGGTTTTGAGGAGTGTGGAACCATCTCTTAATTGCTGTTGTTCCCAGGTCTATCCTTCCTGTACCAAGGCCTCTGATCGGGAGATTGGAGGTTTTGAGGAGCGTGGAACCATCTCTTAATTGCTGTTGTTTCCAGGTCCAACCTGACCCAGGGTGGTATCACCTGTTAGGGTCCCAGTGAAAAAAAAATGGAAAGATATACAAGAATGAGTTAAAAATTATCCACACTTTTGCCATAATATATCTTTAAGGTTTGTCATACTCCCATCTGCTTATGCCTGCTTATTGTTAGTACTATTGGAATCATGGGATCAAAATTTGAGCTTGATTGCATCAGTTTTCTTGCTGCTGTTACAGTGTAAACATGGCCACTATGCTAACAGTGTGCAAATATTTAACCCCCCAAACTGGGGTCAAAATACTATGAAAGTATAAAAATACATTTTTATAATAAAAATACCAGTAATATATTTTCATAGTAAAAAAAAATTACCAGCAATACATTTAAAAAAAATATTACCAGCAATATATTTTTGTAAGAGAAATTATTAATGCACCCCAAGAAAATTAAATTTTGGCATTTAATGACCCATAAGGAGTTGATATGCTGCTAAATAAACTAAAATCAAATTTGTCACAAGTGTTTAAGAATCATAATATATTTTGATGGGCTCATACATCTTGGTGAAAAATATTTTGTTACTCTTGTTTGTTGTTTTAATTTTATAATACGTATGTAAAGCATAAAATGAATTATTGCAAATTGTATAAGGTAAGTGTCTCAATTGTTTCACATATGAGTAGTTTTCAATAAGCACCTCCCTTGAATAAGTGTCTCTCTTAAAGGTTGAATACTTAAATAAAAACCCCAGGCACATATTTGAGGAAATAGAGTATTTCATGAACATAAAAGTGTTTTTATCTTGAAATCAAATAAAAAGAAATATTTATAGCATTAGAATTATAGCACAAAATATTTGTTCAATGTGAAGGATCTCTTAACAGAAGAGTTGTCCAACCTTGAAGTCACTAGGGAATGCAGTAATAACCTGTTGATTTATGGGAATTAGGTTAGACAGATCCTGCCAACCAATAATAATTGAATGGGAAATGGAATTCTCTAATCAAATCTAAATTCAGTCTTAATCAAACCTGAAAACAAAACTCCCTTTTTGTTATCTAATTATAGTAGACAATATTCAAGGATACTGACAAGTTATTTAAGCTTACAACTAAATTAAGTCTTAGAAGAAATTGTAGCTGTCTTTAACCTAAACGCCCACAAAAAAAAACAATGCGTCGAAAAGACATTTTTTTCCCTTGACATTACTATTATTTTAACTACCTTCACTCCTCAATAATGTTGTTTTAAAAAATGATGATTAAAATGGTAATAAAATATAAAAAATATGATGAAAGTAAATTTATACATTCTTTTTTGTTCTTGTGAATTTACAACAAAAATATTAAACACTATGTTATAAATAATCAAGAGTGGTCTCCCCTTGTTTTGTTACTCACTTCTTTGAGGGAGCTATTTCTGTTTACTGGGACTATAAAAAGACACTATATGCGAACCTTGTATTTTTCTTAAAGCCTACATCTGCATACTTTTATCATTACACACTATTTGTTCATTTATTTGAATATTCTTTACAAGGATAATTATAAAATTATTCTTGTAAATAAATTTACAGCATTCTAAAAACAAATGCAATTGTATTAGAACTAATGAAATACAATATTTATCATTCACCAATTTATAAAGAAATAAATATGAAAATTTTTTATTCATAAATTTATAAACATTTACTAAATTATTAAAATATGCTAACCAAATATAAGGAAATCTTTATTAATTACCATTTTCTAAAGTTTGAATCAATTGGCATTTAGCCAATGTTTTGCCAACCATTCCAATAAACAATATAATAAATAAATATTGTTTATTATTTTTGTTGTAAATTCTTAAGAACAAAGAAAATATATAAATTCACTTTCATATGTTTAGGTTTTATTAAAATCCTAATCATCGCTTTTTAAAACAATAAACATTGCTGAAGAGTGAAGCTAGTTAAAATAATAGCAGTGTCAAGGGAAAAACCATCTTTTTGATTCTTTGGTTTTTTTGCAAGCACAAAGGTTAAAATTGCCCAAATTTCTATACTCTTGCATGTTTACTTCACGAAACAGTCTTAGCAATAGGTTTATCGGCATTGTTAATAATAATATACAATAAATAGGTGGTTCTTAATAAGAGTAGGTTCTTAATAAAATTGCGGGGTTTGGAAATTCAATCAAAAGTGAAACATTAATAAAGGGAGTACTCTTAATAAGTTTTAGGGTGGGCGGAAAATTTTCTCAAAAAAATAAACATTTCCATCACATCAATTGATTACTTAAATGTAATCAAAAAGGAAATGTATTGGGTAATTTCATCAACAACAACAATACATGAATTTGGTTCATTTGGTGCCTCCATGATGCCTGAAACTGACATGGCTCAGGAGGCCGTCAGGAATGGAGCTGGGTACCAAGCCTGATCCCACCGTCCATGGGGGACATTGTTGTTGGACTTGAAGAAAAAAAAAGAAGTGAAGAACATCAGGTACAGTACCGATAGGCCATTGATGTGATTTTGTTTAGGGTGGACAACAGTTTGTGTACCCAATGCCCACGCACTTCACTCTAAAGCCTCCTCTGCAGATCATCACCTGGCTGAGACAGGTGGTCTTGAACAATGGTGCTAAAACCCAGATCTCTTACGGATCGCCTTGACGACAGCCTGAATAGTGGTACTAGAGTTCTTTTAGCTTACTGTTTTGAGGCTCTAGACAGGGCTTTATGACTAGCGTAGAGGCCCAATCATACTTCACTCTGCCAAGCGATCCCCTACTTTGGCATTTCCCAGGATCCATGACTTGGTCGCAGGTGTTGGATTTTTGGATCCCACTTGAGTAATTCAATAAGACAGCAAAAGAAGTGAAGATTAGTTAAAAACTATTTATAAATGTAATGTGAGTTTATTTAATGCTTGAGATCCAAAGCTTATAAGAAGATTAGGTTTCCATATATTAACTGCAAATGACGGGAATTTCCGTCATTAATGTTTGATAGCTCAACTGTGAACAATGGCATTTCTGTTGCTTGCTTTTAATATTCCTTTATTTTCAATATGAATATCAGCTTCCTGCCAAATCATGTATAAGCACCAGTTCTCATACAATCAATGGATGACCACTTGGGATGTGTGCATGTTGTAATGGATAACTGCTTGGAATTGGAAATTAGAAAGCTGAGTTCCAGTTCCAGTCAAGTTCATTGTATTCAATTATGTGCAAATACCTTTGTTGCGGGCCGGTGTATGCATTGAGAGATAAACACATGTGTCTCCAGAAATTCCCACAAAAAACATGGCAGACTCAGGATATGAGTCCCTGTAAATATATATAGAAATGATATGAACCAATATATATGCATGAGCAAAATGATAATGTATATATTAACAAAACAAGAGTATGTATAAACAATAGAATATTACTGAACAATGAACATTTAAACTAGTGAATTGTTTGTGTGTGGATAGTTTGGTGTAGGAGAAAGTTTTAGATAAAATGAAATGAAAAGTGCATATGTGTGTGCATGTGCATGTGAGTGGGTTCCCCAGTGGGAAAGTGTTTTCCTTGTTTGGCCTACATCTTGCCATCCCTGAGTGAAAAAGGAAAAATGAGGATGACAGAGAATGTCACTGCTTATTTATAGTCCTGAGAGCATCTACTAGGAGCAGTTTTGAAAATTAGGAGGAGGTAACATGACACCTTTAGGAAAGGTATAAATCCAACCCTCAGCCTAGGGTTAATTAGTAGGGCTCCTATTAGTAAATCATTAGTATCTCAAAAAATTCTTAGAATCTAAAAATATTTTCTGGCTTTAAATAACCTGCAAAAGGGTAATAAGCTGTAAAAAAAAATAGATCAATCAGTCAGGATGAATTTCAAACAAACTTTGTATTTGAGATTTACTTAACTGTTTATAAAAGCACCAGTTCCCATATAATCACTGAAGTTAAGCAACATAGAGCCTGGTCAGTATTTAGATGGGTGACTGTTTGGGAATATCGGGTGCTGTAAGCTTCGATGTGCAGATAGTGTAATGGATAATGGTTTGGAATTGTTAATCAGAGAGACAAGTTCCAATTTCTCTTAAGTTTGTTACATTCATTTACATGCAAATACCCTTGGGAAATGTATGAATCGGCCTCTACTCCTCCCAGTTATGGGTTAATTAGTAAGTGTTGTATCATTAAATCCTTAGTATCACAAAAAAATTCTTAGAATCTAAAAATATTTTTCTGGTTGATAAGCCATAAAAAATAAAATCAGTCAACAGCTTGGTTTTTCTTTTTTCATTTTGTTAATGTGTAGGACTTGTATCTGTTAAACATTATTATATAAAAAAAATTATCACAATCTAAAAATACTTTCTGGATTTTAAATAACGTGCAAAAAAAATGAACAGCCATAAACAGATCCCTCAATCATAATGAATTTCAACCAAACTCATATAGAGCTTATTAAAGTGTTTGATTTATTATAAAAAAGTTTATATATCTATAGACACCCCTTGGTGTGTGTGTGTATGTGTGTGTGTAGAGAGAGAGTGGGTGGGAAAGGGTGGAAAAAGTTCCTTGTACTGATACTCATTTATAATTATAGTCAATAAAAATAAAAGCTAACACTAAAGAAAATTTGCTTGATAAAATCCTGACTTTATATTCCCATATAAAAAAGACCATTATTATTTATTGTTATATGCCTCCCCCCTCTTACTACTATAGAAGAAGAACCTTGGAAAAATAGTCATTTTCCTTCCTTCTCTTCCTCCTCTTTCTCCTCTTCCTACTACTACTACAGCAGAAGAACCTTGGAAAAATAGTCACCTCCTTCCTTCTCTTCTTACTAATACAAAAGAAGAACCTTGGAAAAGTAGTCACTTCTCTTCCTTCTCTTCCTCTTCCTCCTCCTCCTACTACTACTAAGTGCACTGGAATATTTCCAACTTGTTGGGGAAGGAAATTGCAAGTAATTGGTACAAACTCCCCTCAGACCCATTTACAGACATACAACCTGTTATGGGACTTAACAATACACACAGTCCTGGGTATGATAATAAACTACATCTGGCAGCAAGGCCACTGGGCAGGAGATTGGAGATTTTGAGGAGCGTAGAACCACCTCTTAATTGCTGTTGTTCCCAAGGTCCACCTTGACTCAAGGTGGTAGCACCTGTTAGGGTCCCAGCTATGGGCAAATAGTGAACCCCCAAACAAAACACTATGAAATATAAAAATAAAAAAAGAGCAACAAGGCATATTTATAGCAAAATGACCAACAATACATTTTATAGCAAAATGACCAACAATACATTTTATAGCAAAATGACCAACAATACATTTTATCTGTAGTTGAAGGCATACAACTGTATTCAAATTATTTAGATTTTGGCATTAAATATTACCACAGAGGTGTTGATATGCCGCTAAACAAAGTCAAACAACCAACATGAAAGAATTCTTTCACGACATGAATTCATATATGTTATATCATGGATAATACAATATAAGCAACTAGGTAATCCCGAGTGGAAAGATTACACTAATACAGGAATTAGGTAAAACAAATAACAAGATTTTTATTGTATGGAAAGTACAATGAGTAAGAGTTCTTAAGGAAAACAGGAGATACATCACGGAGGTCTGTAGTGTTACACCTGACACTACAATAGTTTGTCACGTCTTTATTTTCTCCCCATTCACGTCTCTTTAGACTGACCAATCACTGTCGGGGTTGTGATAGGTTGTTCCAACAATATAATATCCGACAATATCGTAAAAAATCAAACTGTATTCCAAAATGTAACTTCAACAAAACTACAACATAAAATACACATATCACCGCCTCTAGTAATTATATCCACACAAACATATATATGCATAAAAGCTGAGTATTATCTACCATGTATTCAATTGTGAAAGCAGAATAATGTATATCATATTAAATGCCAAAATTTAATTTTCTTGGAAGCTTTGAAGTAATTTTATCATTTCCAAGCTTCCAAGAAAATTAAATTTTGGCATTTCAACTATTAAATTGAAATTAAATTTCAACCCCTTGTAAGATATTTCAAGTCAAAATATATTTCAGATTGCAGGAGATTGCTTACAATACCTGCTGTTCCCAAGTCTCTCATTTGGCTCAGCTCAATACTGTTTAATCTCAGCGATCAAATAAGAACCAATGTTTTCAGTGTGATTTGATTATAGGCAAAAAAATAAATTAATATATCTTTCTATTTAATTGATTGAAATTATTAATTCAAAGAAAGTGTGTGATGAACAGTAGCAAAGCCATTGATATTTACAGTATTTACATTATTTGGACTATTGTCCTCATCTTTGTCGCCATATTTATCACAACGTTTCAGCCGTTGTACGCTCCGGCCTTCTTCAGGTGGTTGGAATGTCGAACTGAACCCTTTATTTCGTTCACTGGGGTAGACTGTTCTAGTTCCACGTGTCATGTTTAATGGGTGTCAGTTATCAGTTATCTCCTGCTAACTTTCCCTCTGAAAGTTCTCCACTGCCTTAACCGGGTATTGAACTCACACTCTTTGGGTCTGTCACTGGATCTAACCAACGCCTTTATCCACTGTGTAGACAGACCATTGATATTTGGTTTGAAGTTGGCAAATTTTTGTTGTATGTCACCCCGATCTAATTATCAACACCCTTTTGACACACTCCAGGCATTTATCAATTCCCTCGACAATCCCATCAACTCCCAGAGAGCTTACAGTCATATCATGCTGTAACACCAGTTATTGCCTGATCGCTAAAGTTAAGCAACACTGAACCTGCTCAGTGCCTAGATGGATGACTGTTCAGTGCTGTATGCTTCGATGTGTAGGTGGTGTAAAGGATAAACACACAGAATGAGAAATCGGCAAAACAAGTTCAAATTTCCATCAGGTTTGTTATATTCACTTACGTGCAAATACTCTTAGAAAAGGTATAAATCTAACTCTTCTCCTAGCTATGGGTTAAATAGTAAGATGTGTATCAGAAAACCATTATTATCTCAAAATAATTCTAACATTGCTTTGGCTTTAAATAACATAAAAAAAGGTTGATAAGTCAGAAAAAACAATTCAATCAATCAATCAACTCCCAGAGTTAAATATAAATCTGTGTGGAAACCCTGAAGTTAGGTACATGTCTAGGTGCTCACTATCTGTTTTGAAATTGAACCAATCATATTCATGCAGATATTTCAGTCACTTTCCCTCTGCCATAATAGTAGTTTTTCTCATATTCTCTAACCCCTTGCATCTTAGTGGCTTTATTGCCTTTGATCTTCAAAAATTTAAATGCAATATCAATTGTTATCTTCTGTCTTTTTAATTCTTCTTCTTTTATTTCCTCTCTCCTTAACAGTATTTTTTCTCATATTTTCTAACACTCAGTAACCCCTTGTGTCCTAGTGGCTTTATTGCCTTTGATTTTCAAAAATTTAAATGCAATGTCAATGATAATGTTCGGTCTTCTTAATTCTTGTTCTTTTATTGTTCTCTCCCTTAATTGTAGTTTTCCTCATATTCTCTAACACTCAGTAACTCCCTTGCGTCTTAGTGGCTTTATTGCCTTTGATCTTCAAAAATTTAAATGCAATGACAATCGTTAACTCCTGCCTTCTTAATTCTTGTTCTTTTATTGTCCTCTCTCCTTATTTGTAGTTTTCTTCATATTCTCTATCACTTAGTAACCCCTTGCATCCTAGTGGCTTTATTGCCTTTGATCTTCAAAAATTTCAATGCAATGATAATCGTTATCGTCTGTCTTCTTAATTCCTGTTCTTTTATACTTCTCTCTCCTTAATAGCGTTTTTTTTTTTTTCTCATATTCTTTCACACATAATAAGCTCTTGTGTCTTATTGACTTTATTGCGTTGCTTGGGATGAAATGATTAGAAAAAAAAAACAATATTTATTTACACAATTTGTTGTCCAGAAAACTTCAACTTTATATTTTTTGCGATTGTCATAAAAACAAAATATTCTGTGGCAAGGAATAAACTTGTCAGTATTTTATTTTACCAATGTATATGTTTCTGTTGTGGAATTTCAATTTTCGCATCTTTCTTTTATTTTTATTTTCATGTGCACATGTGCTCTCTCTCTCTCTCTCTCTCTCTCTCTCTCTCTCTCTCTCTCTCTCTCTCTCTCTCTCTCTCGGCATATCTACCCACGCAGACCAACCCAGACATATCAACTTGCTTAGACACTCACATGTACTGGCTTGCCCACAGACCTTGATATTGACCTATTTCTTGTTTGGTTGTACACACTTAAAAGCTTGTTTTAAAATAATTTCCTTCACTGCCCTAAAAAATAGTGGTTATAAAAATGCTAACATTAACTACAGAGAAAATTGCACCGGACATGGGAAAAAAAACAGGAAAAGAAATATCATATGGTACACCCCTCCGTTCAACCAAAGGGTTAGTATTAAACTAGGACAGAAATTCTTAGCTCTAATTAATAAACACTTCCCCACCAATACTAATATATTCAATAAGAACACCCTAAAATTGAGCTACAGCTGCTCTGATAATCTTGAACGCATAATAAAAAAACACAATAATAAGATCTTGAACAAACCCCCATGCCAAAACAGTATTAATAAAAACTCTACACTTAAATCAGATGATAATAGGGAAAAATTATGTAACTGTAGAAACCCAGAAGACTGCCCATTAGAAAATAAATGTTGTATTAACTCTGTGGTATACCAATGCACTATTTCATCCATAGAGAGCCCTAGCACTAATATGATATACATTGGGTCCACGAAGAATAATTTTAAAGATAGATGGAGGCAGCATAAGTGCTCCTTTTAATAATATAAACAAAAGAAACCAGACTTCACTATCAAAATATTTTTGGCACTTGAAGGAAACAAATAAGACACCAAAAGTTAAATGGAAAATTATTGACAAAGGCTAGAACATGTAAGGCTTGGGATGACCCATGCCCTTTGTGCCTCCATGAAAAATTACACATTATTAAACTTCTAA